AGTGCTTGAGTTGGCTCATGCTGTAGGTATCTCAACTGAACGGGTACCTCATATTTTACACTAATATTTGGACATGAAAAAACTCTCCGCGAGATGGGTGCCGCGATTGCTCACACTCGACCATAAGCGCAATCGTGTGAAATTCAAAAAAGTGTTTAGCGATGCTCAGCCGTAATCCGAACAAATTTTTGTACCGTTTTATTATGATAGACGAAACATGGATCCATCACAACACGCCAGAGACCTAGGAACAATCGATACAATGGGTTGCTAGGGGTGAACGTGGGAAAAAGAAGGCCAAACAGAGTCTATATGTGATAGAGAAGCTGCGTTCACGTCAGCCGCGTTTGAAGAGTATGTTAAAGCCAATGCTATGCAACATGTTAAAATTACTACAGGTGTTGCGAGAGGCAATGGACAGGTTGAACGGGTCAATAGATTAGTTTTGTCTATAATCTTGAAGCTATGCGTTAAAGATTCATCGAAGTGGTACAAATTTGTTCCACAGGTACAAAGAGCCATAAACTCACACGTGCACAGTTCAACAAATAGGTCCCCGTTCGAGCTGATGTTTGGTTGCAGAATAAGTCAAGTGATACAATCATTTCATTGCTGGAGGAGGAGTTGATTGCCGATTTTTATAGTGAAAGGAAACAAATACGAGGGAATGCTAAAGAACAGATAGGTCGCGCACAAAAGGCATACGAAGAGAATTAAGATTGAAAACGTAAAAGTGAGACCGGCTATAAAGAGGGTGATTTGGTGGCAATAAAGCGAATCCAGTTCGTTGCAGGTAAAAAATAAGCAAGTAATTGGTCCGTATGAAATCATAAAAGTAAAGCGCAATGGTCGTTACGAAGTGACAAAGGCCACACAAGTTGAAGGCCCAATGATAACATCGACCAGTGGTGACAATATAAAACTATGGAGATACGTCGAGGCGAATGAGGACTTGCTGTCATCTGAGACAGATGACGATTATCAGGATGACCGAATATAAAGAAGTATAATATTACAGTGACATAGAAACCCCGAATAGAGTGCAGTGATAAAGAAAGGAAGGCAGGCAGTAAAGTAGTTGTCAGTTAGTTGGGCATCGAGAGCCAAGAAGTTAAGTTGTGACAGCAGAAAGGGAAAATCGAACTGCTCTTCGCCGCGTGTGCCTATACTACATATTATTTAACATTATTGTTAAACATTAATTATTAATCAACATTACATATTAAAACATATTAAATATATTTTATGGTATATATATGTATTATAAACACATTTTTAAATTACAATCGTTTTGTTGTTTTTTTTTTAAATATTTTGTTTTCCAATAACCTTCTAATGTACTTTCAGTAGTACGTATTTTCCTTTATTTATCTAAAATATAATTTCTTTTTCTAAAAAAAAATTTATTTGCATCTAAAATAATCCATTTCATTTCGTATTTATGTCATCTAGATCTCTTGTACTGTACCCGAATTTGCGACTCCGAATAATGTCTCCCGCGGCTTCAGTTACGAGTTCTATCATACATTTTTATCCCTTTTGTTTTTACCTAATTTTAATTTTATTTTATTATTATATTTTTTTTTTAAATTTTTATTATTCTGTGTATTGCTCCTGTGTGCTTTTTCCCTATTCAGTATTAAGGCAGTCTTATGGAATTCACCTTACTTCAAATTTGATTCTATAATAACAAAAAACAGTCATTATTATTGTACTTTCTCAATTAATTAATATTTGAATCTCGGATTTCCGGAAGCTTGTTGTTGGCATCCTAATTATTGGTCCAAGAGCATAATTAACTGTGTACTTAGAACGTTCACCTGAAATGTAAGCTGAAAAGAAAGGGAAGAAAATGGAACAAAAAAAAAGAAATAAACAGTAGCATTATAGAACCAGGTTTTTTAAACCCTATCGATTCTGTCAACAGTGTGCTGTTCTAAATCACCCTTTACTGGTACCTTTTCATTATTGGGTATTTTTTTCTAATTCGACTATAATTTTGATCTACCTCAAACGGCTGCCTATTGCTTTTGTTCTTAGTTTTGTATTCTGATATTGCTATATTGTACTGAAATCGCTTTGCAAGAGTAATTTACGCTGTAGTGGCATACTAACCATGACCACACACAATACGTTGTGTGCGGTATTTAATGTGTCACGCCAACCTAAAACTCTCAAATATCAAGCATGATCGAAAAACCCAAATCGTCAGTAATGAAATAATTTATGAGTCAGAAATTTGACTCGTCTGTTTTGTCATTTCTATATGACAAAACATTTGTATGCATATTTAATTATTCCAATATGCATTTGACAATTTGGATAGTGGCATGCTCAGTACATGAATTTGTGTTAAGTATTTCACAGATTATATTGCAAGCGATAATGCATGCAATATGATTTGTCCTCAATACAGTTGGTCACCAGATGTGTGCCACTGTGAAATATATATGACTAGAATGACCAGTATGTAAATAAATTATATTTGTAAAATATTATGTACGTCTAATTTGGATTAACCAATTAGACGTAAGTAAATTTAAGTATCAACCAATACAATCGATGCATAAGATTCTATTGGAAATTAGTTGTAAAAAATTATGTTAGAGATAAGAATAAAAATTTAATAAAATCAGTTTCTTAAGAACACTCTACACGACATGTCTTTCATTTTTATAAAGTGAAATAATTACATTATAAAGTAAAACTATTACATTTTTATAAAGTGAAACAATTACATTATAAGATAAACAATTACATCGCGTTTAACACCCAAAACTGTATGTTTTATATTTATTTATGACATTTATTTATTCTTCGCACAAGTTAGAGAACTTCGAAAATTATAAAGTTCTCAATAAATTTTTACGTTTGGTTTTCTTCGGCACAAAATTAGCACACGCACAACACACTGTGTAAGTGTGTTGTGCTTGCGCACACACTTAGTTTTATATAAAGAAGATTATGTTTTCACATATGTATGTATCATAAAATGTTTAATTCACAAATATATTAGTTTCCCATAAATATTATTCGTTTAGTTTGAACTTTTATGTTAATTTCATTGAAGATAGTTTGATTTCTTTTTCCTACTTTCGAATAGCTGAGCGACGATGCCAATATGCATCCATACTGTTCAGCGACCGATTTGGAGATTTGGCAACTCTAATAAAGTAAAGTATTAAAAGTTCTTTAGCGCGGGGTAATTTTTAAAATTTTTTGGTATAATAGTGATTAATTTGTGAGATCCGAAAATAAACTAACAGATATAAGTCTCATCTACCACGGTGCTATCGAGTTCAGTGCTTAAAGTGATTAAAACATTAAATGTTGTTTTCGATATAAAAGTAAGACTTCGCCAGGCAAAAACTACAGTTTCGTGTATAAATAAGCGTAAAGCATAAATATTCGCCTTTGTTATTATTTAAAACAAGCTTTCAATTTAAAACAGTGTTTCAAAGTAATTATTAAACTATTAAAAACTGAACGAATTTCATAAAGAACAGTATCTCAGAAAGGATTGGTGTCTTTACTTTACGTGATCTCGTTGTAAATTACCTAAAAGTAGGCAATAAATTAAATTAAAAAATTATAGTTAACAATAATTAATTTGTTTTAATAAAATATCAAAGACAATCAATTGTGCCAAAAATGAATCGCACACCACCGAACGTTCCAGCAGGCGTAAGTGTACCAACAGGCTGCGGTGCGAAAAGAATGTTAAAGGAAACATCGCCTGAACAACAGGAAAGTATGGTACTCAAAAATTCAGTGGGTAATATGCAGCTGTCAGATCTAATGAGTGTATTATCAAACCTATTAGATGATAAACTACAAAATGTGGCCACAAAAAAAGATCTGGAAGATATAAAAGCAAAGATGGGCAATATAAATCATAAAGTTGAAAATCTAGCTAAGGAGAATAGCGAACTCAAGAAGGAACTAGAGAAATTAAAGAGCGAGAGGGAACATGAGCAATTAGAAATAGACCGCCTTATAAGCCAAAGTAAAAGAAAAAATGTAATATTTAAAGGCTTAGAAAAAGCTAACAGTCCAAAAAAAGCAGTCGAAATGGTTTGTAATCATATATTAAAACTACCGGAGGTAAAAATCGCGTCAGCAAGAATTATCTACACAAGAAATGAAAGAATAAGCGTAGTGGCAGAAATGGGTGCTGAAGACATGGCAACAGAAGTTTTTAAAAGTGTCAAAAATTTATCAGGACATAAAATAACAATAGAGAGGGACTTAGATAAGAAAAGACTAGAATGCAAGAAAGCCCTACTGCAGTTGAAAGCGGATATCCTGAACGTAGACCGTAAGTACAAAGTATATGTAAAAAACGATGCAATCAAGATAGGCGAAAACTGGTGCACATTCAATAAGGAGTTCATCTTAATGTGTGGGGTTCAAAAGGCCGAAGACATCCTTAAGCATAAGTATGGTGATAATATTAAGAAATTTACTTTAGACTTTAAGAACCTATTAGAAAAGTCAAAAAACTAGAATTTAAAATAAGTAAACAAATAAAAGAAATAGATAAGCATAATTTAAGTATAGTATCGTATAATATCAACGGATTAGAAAATAAATTAATGTTTCCAGATTTTTTTAAATACATTAAGCGTTTTGATATATTCTTCTTGTTAGAAACCCATGTGAATGAAAATAAAGCAGAAAGTCTGAGTAAATATTTTGGCGGTTACAATTTAACATGGAAATATGCAACAAGAATTAATAATTATGGCAGATATAGTGGAGGTGTACTGCTAGCAATAAAAAAGGAATTGGCAAACCTACGAATTAATTGTTATACTAAAATAATTCAGGAATGTCATGTAATATATATAAAATTCGGACACACTCAAATAAATATAGTACCTTTATATATAAGAAGCGCAATCTGGTCCGACGAATTTAGTAAACTGGAGACAATATTCATGGAAAATGAAATTAAAAATCTTATTGTGATTGGAGACCTGAATGTCAGAATTGGTAAAATGCAAAACTACTTGGAAGAGGAATATATAGCGAACTTTACGGCTGGATTCGAAGAAAGGAAATCTAAAGACGAAGTGGAAAACTCTCGTGGACATAGATTTATACATTTATGCTGTGACAACGGACTTGTAATAGCGAATGGAATGACAAAAGGTGATGAGGAAGGAGAAATTACATTCTGTAGTGGAGTTGGAATGTCAGTAAATGATATCTGTGCAGTCTCCCTAGAAATACTTGAATTTATCGATAAGTTTGAAGTCGGAAACACACACTGGTCTGACCATTTTCCTATAGTCTTAACGTTAAGATTGACAGATATAGAAACGGTAAGAAAAAATACAAATTTACTTCCAAAATTGAAATGGAATAAACAGCAAGTAACAGCATATAAACAGCGAATAAGTGAAACCTTATTAAATGTAAAACAGAATAAAGATCTGCTAACTCTGACGGATATAACTTATGTAATTAAATCGGCCCATAAAGAAACACAAATTAGGGAACACTCCTTCGAGAAAAAACAAAATTGGTTTAACTGGAGATGTCATAAAGCGAGACAGGAAACATTCAAAAGCCTAGAAAAATTTAGACAAGTAAGTAGCAGCCAGAACAAAGAGATTTACTTAAAAGATAATAAGCACTATAAAGTTATATGTGCAGAAGCCAAACAGAGATACTACCAACAATTGGATGCTAAGATACAAAATGTAAAGACAAACAAAGACTGGTGGAACATTGCGAGAGAAATAAATGGAAATACAAGTTCAACGATTACAATGGAGGCAGAAATGCTGAAATTATACTTTAGTAATGTACTAAACCCGTCACAGACATCATTAGATATACAATATGCTCACGGTTATATGGAAGTTTATGATCTAGACAAAACTATAACACTAAGAGAAGTGAAAGAGTTTATTGAGCGAACAAAAAATTACAAAGCTCCGGGAGAAGACAGAATACCATACGAATTCATTAAATATGCACCTGATGACCTCCTATCAGAGATAACAATAACTTGTAATGACATGTTTAACAGCGGTATAGTTGATGAATCGTTTGTGAAAAGCATAATATACCCCATACATAAGAAAGGTGATGTAGGATTACCGTGCAACTATCGCGGAGTATCGTTTATGAATTGTATTGCAAAAATTATGATGGGTGTAGTAACAGACAGGCTAACAAATTGGACCGAAAGTAATAGAATAATAAACGAATTTCAGGCTGGGTTCCGGAAGAATTATTCTACAGTGGATAATATTTACAACTTGTCATCAATAGTACAGATAAATTTTAAAAACAATAAGAAAACATATGCCTTTTTTGTAGATTTTAAAGCAGCCTTCGATAAGGTCTCTCGAAAGGCGTTAATTTATAAGCTTCACGCAGCTGGAGTCTCAACTAAAATGGTCCATTTTATTGAAAATGTGTACTCGAACACTAAATGTGCAGTATGGACTGGAAAAGATCTATCGAATGAATTCTCAGCTGTAAGCGGAGTGAAACAAGGTTGTATATTATCACCGCACTTGTTTGTTCTTTATCTCAATGACTTACATGATTTTTTGGGAGGAAGCATACAGATAGAAGAACTAAACATTCGAACTTTAATGTATGCCGACGACATTGTGATACTGGCTGACGATATAACGACGCTGCAAAAAATGATTTATAAGTTGGAATCATACTGCCATAGTTGGAATTTAGAAATCAATCTAAGTAAGTCCGCAATTATGGTTTTTCGAAAAGGAGGTAGATTGGCAAATAAAGAAAAATGGTATCTCGGTGGTGAAGAAATAAGAATAGTGAATGAATACTGCTATCTAGGCGTGACATTGACTCCAACAATGAACTTTAGGAAGCATGTAGAGAGGAGAACTATTGCAGCTAAAAATAGTATAAATCTTACGTGGAACAACTTTCTTAGTAGGAACGGCATACCTATAAAAGCAAAATGGAATCTATTTCTAGCAATAAGTAGAGCAATACAATCATATGGTGCTCAAGTATGGGGCTGTACTCTGTTCGAAGAGGTGGTTAAACTACAATTATACTTCTTAAAGAAAATATTGAGAATGCCACAATTTACGCCAACATATATTTTAATGTTAGAGACGGGGCGGAAGATGGACATTTATATACCTTAAAATTGCACCTCAATTACATTTTCAGAACCATGTATATATATGGTACCGAAAGATTACCCAATCAATTGACCAAAAAATTGTTAAATCTTAACCTTTCTTGGGTGCAGGTTCTAAATGAGCTGGGAAATATTTGCGGCATAAATTGGAATCAACAAACAGCATCGCGAAATCTTTGGAAGGCAAATAATGAACTGCTGTTGACATTTCTGAAAGCTGATTTGAGGGAAAAATATATAAGTAAATCCCAACAAACTAACCGAATATATAAAGACTTAACACCATCACTAGGAAAGGAATATATAGCTGACATAACACATATTAAAAATATCACCTGGATACTCAAAGCAAGAAGTAGCATGATAGAGCTAAATGGAAACAGATTTGATATATATACGAGTAGATCTGCGCTCTGTAGTATGTGTAATTTAGATGAGACTGAAGATATTGTGCATTTTCTTGGTCGTTGTCCTATTCTACAAGAGTTCCGATTGGCTTGCTTTGGTAAAGCTATTCTATCTTATGAAGGCATTATAAATGTTTTAAACGGTTCGGAGGTAGAATGGGTAAGAGTAGCAGAATATGTAAAAAATTGTATAGCATATCGGTATTATTTAATATCACAATATAATAATTAATATATAGTTTGTGGCTCTTCTATCATTTATAATGTGTTTATACTAGTTTATTGTTATACTCACTATTGCAAAACTACTTTTAATACTACTATTACAATATAAGTCGACAGACGACATCGTGTCACAGTCGCTATTTTAATTATATTTATTTTTATATTTATTTATATATTAATTTAAGATACATCATATTGTAAAAATGAAATTTAAAATGAAAATAAATATACATACATACATACATACATACTGTTCAGCGACCGTCACACAACTCTACTGCACGCGCTTGGTGCAAATTTCACAAGCTACGTTCTTCTGGACACGTAATGTCGTGTCAGCAAATTCCTCCGATCACGTTGTGGGATTGTTGTCTTCAGCATAGTCCAATGCTACCGTTTCGTAGCATGATATTAAAATGAAAGGCCAATTTCATTTAAGCATTTACTGCTGTCGCTAAGAGTCAGCGATGTCAGCGACCGCCGACGGCCTCGCGCCCGCAGGGGCTTCGCAAAAAGTTACCGATTGTGGATTCTAAGCACTTAATAAATATTTTGAACAATTTGGTTTGATAATGGCATTAACCATATTCGAAGTATTCTCAAATGTTTATATAGTAATCAGATTCATGTTCACAGTTCCAGTCAGTATAGCTTCGACGAAAAGAAAGAAGCCAAGTTAAAATTGTTTAAAACGTACTAGAAAAGTATAATGATCAAAGAGAGACTATCTTTATTGGAAATTCCATAAACTGAAGCAAAAATAACAGCTGGCGCAAATTATGATATATGTTAATTTAAAAAAAATTGAGAGGTTAAAAGTAGGAAAATTCATTTATTTTAATTTGTGTTTATTTTAATTTGATTAGCAATAAAACTTTCAATCATGCTTTGTCGTATTAGAGAATGTAACTTATTTACTTTTACAACTGGGTTATAAAGGGGGCCTCTCAATTCTGATGTCGCCGACGTGCAGAGTTGGTCTAGCTCCGCCACTGGCTGACCAAACCGATTTTTCAACACCCTACCCACAACATCCCTTCCCCTTGCGGAGGAGCGTTGACGTTCTTCAAAAGAACTTGGTATTATTATTTAGTGATATAGTGACAGTTGGCGGCGAAGGTTGACAGCGTTTATATATTTTTCACTTTTTTTTTGTAAAGCTAAAATTACAATTAACAAACAGAGTTTTTCTTTAACATTCATTACAATACCATATAGAATTTCAAATACTATTATTTATTTTTACCTTTCTTTTTTATATTCTCTTTTAGTTCTTTAATTAATTGTTGCCTTTTGTTTTTTTGTTTCATAAATTTTTTTTTTATTATTACAATATAATGGCGTAATTGTAATTATTCTAAAGGTGTAGAGAAAAGACAAAGTACATTATTTTTTTTCAAATCAATTCCTAATAATTAGTGGATTAATTTTACAATAAGTTTTGAACTTATACGAATTAAACCTGTTTAGAGTATATGTGCTTTCTAACATACAGTAAAAGTAATCCTTTTTTTTTACTAAATTTCCTTATATAAATTGCTTAAAAATAAATAGTCGGAAACATTACGTGTTAACTTATGCAATTAATATTATATTTCTCTCTTTTTTATATATATTCTTATATGTGATAAAACTGATTCCTTAAGACATAGTTTATAAATTTATATAAATACAAAGCTAAAACATAAACCATATGCATAACGTAATTTTTTTTTTTGTATTAGTTTAACATACCAACTACACAGAAACTAGGCATAAAATATTTTTGCATAGATGCTTTTATTTACGCATTCAAAATCGGGGGAGGCTGTAACCCCTACAGGGCACGTCGCAGGTGGGGGATAGCGAAGCCTCCCAGTAATGAGTGGTAGGAGGGAAATGAAATACCTCCCGCGGACCAAACAAACAGGTGATGGTAATCTTCGTAATAAACCCCCACTGTAAGTTTTTCAAAGGTAGTATCGATAAAAGGTTACAGATGGTGAGAACAATCAGTTAATGAAATTGTTCAAAAGAGTGTCGAACAGATTATAAAATGACAATTACATGATTGTAATTAAAGCCGACAAAGTACGAGTTGGAGAACATACACGACGATTTAACGCTCCAAGTATAAATGAAGTCGCTGTTGTAATAGTTGGCGAACAGTTTGAAAAACGAGACATTAAAATTATTCGTGAAGATAAAACATGGCAAACAATTGAAGATACTCATCGTTCATATGATGCATTGCAATATCCCCTAATATTTTGGGAGGGAGAAGATGGATATCAAATCAATATTAAACAACGAAATCCATTAACTGGTGTGTAGTTTTGTAATGGATTGAATAGATTCCGTTTAGTAACTATTTAATAAATTATTTTCAGGTGAAGAAACAAACAAAAAAGTTAGCGCAATGAACTATTACTCATAACGTTTGATAATCCGAAACCATGAAGATAATCACATTTTAAAGTGCCGTCAATTATTTCATCAATACGTAGTCGATATGTACGCGAAAATTGAAAGCGAACAATTGCGATACATTCGATTCAACCAAACAAAATGGCGTGCAGAAGAGTATATACATCTACGCGATGCTGTTAATAATAATATAGATGGGAATTTGAACCTTAGTAATATTGGTAATGTGTTCATACTTCCATCTTCATGTACTGGTAGCCCACGTCATATGCAAGAATACATCCAAGATGCAATGACGTACGTGCGTGCATATGGTCGACCAGATTTATTTATAACATATACATGTAATCCGCAATGGGATGAAATAAAAAAATTGTTATTACCTGGACAAACGCCGATTCATCGTCCCGATATTACCGTACGGGTGTTTAAACAAAAATTAAAATCTTTGATTGATTTAATTGTAAAACACTCTGTATTTGGAGAAACACGTGGCTTGATGTATTCTATTGAGTGGCAAAAAAGAGATTTGCCACATGCTCATATTTTAATTTGGTGTGTTGAAAAAATCAGACCTGAAGAAATTGATAAAATAGTTTTTGCTGAAATTCCTGATCCAAATGTTGACAAAGAGCTATTTGAAATTGTGACAAAAAATATGATACATGGTCATGCGGAAATTTAAATATGACGTCACTTTGCATGGAAAATGGTAAATGCACACAAGGATTTGGAAAAGATTTTGTTAGAGATATGATAATTGGAATTGATGGCTATCCTATATATCGTCGAAGAAATTCGGAAAATGGAGGCCAATCCTTTTCACTAAAGTTGAGAAATATTGAATATGAAGTTGAAGTAGACAATAGATGGGTATTGCTATATTCGCCATTGTTATCCAAGATATTTAAAGCGCACATCAATGTAGAATTTTGTAGCTCCGTAAAATCAATAAAATACATTTGCAAATATGTTCATAAAGGTAGTCCATATCACAGTATTTGCAGTTCAAAACATAAACGAAAATGATGAAATAACACGCTACCAAATGGGCAGATATATCAGCAGTAACGAAGTCATATGGCGAATTTTTGGTTTTCAAATACACGAACGAGTTCCAGCTGTAATATATTTAAGTATACATCTTGAAAATGGTCAACGTGTTTATTTCAACGAACAAAATGCAATAGAAAGGGCATTAACAGCACCAAAAACTACTGTAGTGCCCATGACCTACATTAATATCATATGTGACAAGCCACTGTTCATTCAGACAAAATAAATGTGTCATAAATTATAATATGCACTTTTGTCGGTTTGACGCTTTGACTTTGATCATATTACTTAAAAGAAATATTTTGACTCATGCTGTTACAAATATGCATTTGTAATATAAGACATGATAAGCATGTATGGTCATTGCACTATTTCGACCTAAATTCTAGAAAGTACATTAACTCTTTAAAAACAATACATGACGTATTATTGTAATGCGTTAGAAGAGTATTTGTTTATAAAATATATGTAATAAAATAATTAATGTAATTTATGGGAGTAACCAATGCATTGATTGGTTACTCAAATCAATCAGAAGTAAATAATAATTGTTTAGTAAATAAGCTAGAATAAGTATAAATACCCATAATTTTTATAATAAAAATAGATTCAATTTAACTTAAGACAAGGTTACGTCTTTTATTTGAATCGTGTTCTATGCGGCATTTAGATGCTGAAAGAACAATAAGCGGCTGAAGAGCTTAGTAATACTCTCCTCTATACTGATAGGTCGTTTCCACTTACACTGGTCGATAAGTGATCCTTGAATTCTTTCAGGACTCAGACATCATTTGGTGATATTAATTGAGAAGACTCTATCTAACAATCCTGCTATTATATCTTGACGATCCTAACATCCTGCAACCATTACATAGCGAAGCATTAAGATCATCACCATAACATTACAATCACATTTTATAGCCATAACATGGCGATCCTGCAATTACCATAACATGGCGATCCTGCCCCCGACGGACCAAATCTTCTAAAGCAGTTCAATAGCAAAAAGCCTGCCCCCGACGGACCAAATCTTCTAAAGCAGTTCAATAGCAAAAAGCCTGCCCCCGACGGACCAAATCTTCTAAAGCAGTTGTTGTAAATCGTAATTTAAATGTAAATTAAATTCACATTGGTATATTAATATATTATTAATATATTAATGCTATATTGCAAATTGCAAACCGCCCCTGGGTTGGAAGCAACGGTTGTATGGCGTGATATTTGCACGCCAATTGTTTTGTTGCTAGTTGTTTACACCAAAATTGGAATAACATGTTTTGAATTTGGTGTAAAGGCTTGCGGGTTTTTATTTAGAGAGTAGTTAGTAGGTTTTTGATTTGGTGTTCAACGCGAGCAGACGTTTTGATCGTGAACTGCATGAATTAGAAAAAGTGTAAAAAATTCTCATTTGGACCTTCCAATAAAAAAAACGATTTGATCTTACATATTGAAATATGTGCATATATATATATTTATTTATTAAAAATTAATTAAGATTAGTAAAATTTCGGCGAATAATTTAGAACACAACATGAAAAGTTTGTTAATAAATAAGTTTAAAAAATTAACATAAAATAACTTATAATGTTCTATATAGAATAAAGTAATTTTGTGATTTGATATAGAATTAATTAAGTTAAATTTTATTTTAAATAAATGGTTTTACTTTAAGTAAATTTATTAAATGAAATTTTATTTTAAAAATATGTAAAACAAAGGATTTGTTATGAACAAGTTTTTCTGTAAATAATTAAATAAAGATATAAAAACACAACATTGGCGCAGCCGGTACACGTTTTTGTACTAAAAAGTTACAAAACGTGGTATATGTGAACTGTAAATAATTTAATATACTGTAAAAGTTATAAGAACTCATAAAAACATATTTGTTGTTTTTGTACTAAAAAGTTACAAAACGTGGCATATGTGAACTGTAAATAATTTAATATACTGCAAAAGTTATAAGAACTCATAAAAACATATTTGTTGTTTTTGTGTTAAAAAGTGACAAAACGTGGTATATGTGAACTGTAAATAATTTAATATACTACAAAAGTTATAAGAACTCATAAAAACATATTTATTGTTTATAATACAAAATTTTAATAGTGACCTAAAAACATTTAAATTAAATATTAATCGTAAAGAATTTTTCAATTACGAAGTACGGATTTATTATTGTACCAAGTACGAACACAATTTATACGGTTAGTGTCGTCACATTAAAGAAAAACAATTGCGCATTTATTTAATAAATAATAAATTGTAAATATATAAAATAATCTCCTACCTGAAAAAATGTGTTTTCGTTTATCGGATGGGTGGAAGTAGCAGTGAAGCTAATGACGATGTTATTGCAATAGTAACAACTGCAACAAAACAAATACCAACAACAACAACAGCAAATTTCACCAAATCAACAACAGCCGCGTCGTCGAATAAGCAGAACCAACAACAACAACAGAATGACAATAAAAAGGAAATACTCTTGAATGTGTATGATTTTGATTGAATTTATATTGATATTTATATTTATATTGAATTTATATATATTATCAATAGCTTATTATATTTACGAAATATACATATATATATGTATGAAATGTGTGAGGAGTAATAATTATATTCAAAGAGAAATATATAGAGGTAACGATATGGGTTTACTATTACATTAGTTCAATAATTTATAATTTTAAAAAATATATATATATATATGGAATATGTGAGAAGTAATGATCAGATAGACTACTACAATAATTTAATAGTTAATTGATGCATGAAATTTAAATAATTTTTCTACTACTTTTTCGCAATCACATTTTGACTGCGAGTATAACGCCGTATATCATATACAATTTCTTTTTCCTTCCTTCTTCTTTCCTTAGCGAATTGTGTAAAGAATATTTTAAATTTACAAATCCGTAATTTCATAGTTCAGAAGAACTCTTGGTTAGGCAAGCTGTATGGAGAATGGGGTGGAACAGTTAAAACAGGAGCTAACCACAGTGAATAGTTTTATAGAAAAGATATTGGTGAGAGATTGGGAGCAATTACGGGGGATAAATAAGGATAAAGAGTTTTTACAATTGACTAGGGATCACGTGCGGGGTTGTAGATTATCAAGAATTGAAGAGGTCGAATTTTTATGGGACCAGATAGAAAGGGTTGGTAGTATCAAGTTCGAGGAGAAGGATAAAATAATAAGTGATCTGCTAGAGTCAAACGAGGGTTGGCAGCACAAATGTAATAATCTATCTAGAAGATTAGAAGATTTAACAGAGTTATTATATGATTCAGAGACGCAAACTGCGTTGCTGGAGGGGGCACTAAATGACGTAGGGAAAAACGAAGAGGATATTTCTAAAATACTTGCAAGCGATATCGCAGGGGGGACTCGCCAATCGTGGAACGCGCGTTGAAAAAGAGGGGCTATTCAGAGAAGGAGATACAGAGCTTATTGGAGGCAAACGGGAAGGAGAATTGTTTCAGCCGTTGGCGCGAGCAAATAAAGAAATTGCAACGAAAACTAGAAGTTGATAGTTGTGATAATATTGGGGTTCCATCAATGCAGATGGAGGAAGAGCCAAGGCAAAGTGAGGAAAAAACGTCGCGATGGCATCAATTGTGTCAATTGTGGATACAGTAAACAAAGTGGTACCATATTTTGCAGGTGGCAATGGCTCCGACGTGCGATCAGAGGTCTACAAGTTCGTGGCGGGTTGCGAGTTGGCTCAGCAGGCACTGCCACACGCAGACTCTCTTAGTCTTACAACCTGCATTAAGCAAAGACTGGTAGGGTCAGCTTATGAAAGTATAGGAGGGAAGAGTTTCACGTCAGTAAATGATTTGTGTATGGCCGTTAAGAAAGCGTACCTAAAGAGACGATTTTTAGAGCAGATTCGTAATGATTTTAATCGATGCGCTCAGCGCACTACAGAATCTGTAACGTCTTTCGGGTCACGAATAGAGTCGTTACTGATCGAAGCAGAAGATATAATAAACGCACAATGGTCCGCGGATAAAACAGTGTCACAGGTGGCCGAATATTGGCGTTTAGCTAACAGATGTTTCATTAAAGGGTTGAAGGACAAAAACTTGAGACATAGGTTCGTCGGTGCGGAGGATGGCGCGTTATGTCAACTTATAGAAATTGGGGAGTCAGCGGAAGATTTGTTTGGTGATAACGTGATGAATGTAAATGTATCCAGTGAGGACCATAAAGTGGTATTAAAGTGTAATTTTTGTGGAGTAGGAGGGCATGGATGGGCAGATTGCTCCATAAGGCGAAACACACCGTACTGCACACTATGTGGGGAGTATTGACATGAACAAGGTCCTAGGTGCAGAGAGAGTGGTGATAGTAAGTCAAATGGTACAGTTGGGCGAAGTAAGGGTTGTAGTTATTGCAAGAAGTCAGGACACGTTGCAGACGATTGTTTTAAAAGGCTCGAAACCTTGTTTTGTCAGGTGTGTAGAGTTAGGGGACACAACATGAATAGGTTTTGTCGCTATAACTCGGATAGATTCGCAAGAGACAGTGGAGGCCAAGGCAGATATGTGGCAATGTCTCAGGTTAAGTGTTTTAAATGCAGCCAGGTAGGGCATATGGCTAGAGACTGTGGAGGGGAA